CGATTGACAAATATACAAAAACACAATAAAATGAACTGCTAACTACAGGCCCTAAAATTTATATATATGATATATAAAATTTAACGGCACAATTCTTTCAAATCCTAAGAATAAAGTTCACAGTATCAATATAACAGAGAACTCAAGCAAGATAGAACTAAAAAGTATTAGATTATGCAACTAGGTAACCTTGATTATGTAAAGGGGGTGTAGTAAAACTATAAGTCAGATAAAGCATATTGMTAAGTTCAAAGGAACTAAATGAAGATCAAAGAAATCAGAGTGGGTCAAGAAGAGAGGATGGCTGGACATGCCTATAATCCCAATGGGTCAGGAGGCTAAGGCAGGATGGCGAGTTCAAAGTCAGCCTCAGCAAAAAGCAAGGCAGTAAGCAACTCAGTGAGACCCTGTCTCTAAATAAAATACCAAATCAGGATGGGGATGTGGCTTAATTATTGAGTGCCCCTGAGTTAAATCCCCAGTACCCCCTTCCCCACAAAAAAGAAGAGAGGATGAAAACTAGAGAGCAACACAAAGTAAAAGATTATAATACTCCTTTAAGTTGGAAAATGAAAGCAAGCTACTTCACCTGAAAAATCACCTTACTTTATCTTTTCCAGAACATGTACGTGGGCTTGAATGTCCCCACACATTCTTGCTGAGTATACCATCTGCAAAGCTTTCCATTTCCTGATACTGAAATGTTTTTTGTAATAAGCTACATAGGCAAAAAAGATCAAGACAACCACATCATGTAACTGTCCAAAGGAGAGGTAAACTAGCCTGTTTGTTGTCTGCTACAATATTTGTAAGCTGGCTTTAAAGGGGAATGCACCCTTGGCTCTGCATTCCTCAATTATGAAGCAAATCCCCTGCTTATGTCCATCTGAACACCCATTATAGGTTCTTGGAACTTGAGAACAAGAGAAATCTATTCAAATATGCTGATGTTCAGGATGCCATGAGTATTGTTATTTTTCTTTGATTTGGGATTTTCCTGTTTTCTGCCAACCACCACAAAACCTTAACAGACTAAAATATTAGCTTGTAAACAGGGCATTTATTTATCATGTACCAGTCTATGTTTTATATATATTTCGGTACTTCTTACACTATCCTAATGAGATGGCACTTATATGAGGACCCTGAAGCTTCAAGATGCAAAGTAATGGCCAGGCATAGTGGCACAAGCTTGTAATCCTAGCAGCTTGGGAGGCTGAGGTAGAGGATCACAAGTTCAAAGACAGTCTTAGCAATTAGAGAGGCTTTAATAATTCAGGGAGAACCTGTTTCTAAATAAAATATAAACAGGCTAAGGATGTGGCACAGTGGTTAAGCACCCCTGGGTTCAATCCCTGATACCAAAAAAAGAAAAGATGCAAAGTAACTAAGGCAATATCTCAAAAATTGCAAATAGCACAACTTAAATATAAGCCTAGATGACATTAAAGCCTGTTTTTTGTTTTTATGGTACTGGTGATCAAACCCAGGACCTCAGTGAAAACTAGACAAGCACTTTACCACTGAGCTATAAAATAACTAGTTCCAAATCCTGTTTTTGGCCATTAATTATAAAGCTTCCTTTCTAGTTGATTTATCAAAGGCAAATTTAATTCTCCAGATCCAAGAGCAAAGTATTCAAATCTTCATAATGTGAATACTTCAAATCATGTTTCATTGAAAACTAACATTTTAGAATGGAAATATTAACATAATCTTAAATTTTTTAAAAAATAACTGTGATCAAAGATGAGGAAGAGCAAAAGTAAACAAATCCAAACCACTGTCTTTACTATAAAATTTCTCGTAGTTTTAAAATGCTAGTATATGTTATAAATCTTCCAAGAATACCTATTATCATCATTCTGGAACACAGTCTAGGAAACTACTGCTAACAATGAAAACTGCCAATTTAACTTCTACACAGAATACCTTTTAAATCTTAGTAGTCACCTCAGTGGAGGTATATGATCCTTTAAAACACAGAAGATCAAAGTTAGAATGTGGTCTAACAGCTGTAAGACAAGTTAATTATTTAATAATTTGGGACACTGTTGTTTTCTGACCAAGCAAAACTAAATTTCCCATCAGTCAAAGAAACTATTTACTTGCCTGATTTTTTTTTTTTCAAATTAGAAGGGTAACAATCAAGACTCTTTGCAGTTCTACATTGTTCTACTTAACTGCTTAACTCTTTTACTTAATTGCTTTACTTAACTAAATTCAGATCCTTTTAACAATGGAAGGGAAGAAGCAACCATAGAAAAAGCAGTTTCCAGAGAAAGGTTATCTATTCATCAATGCAAGAAAGTCATTCTGATGTTCTGGGCAGCACTGTCAGTTTTCCAATATGGAGAGCTGAATTTTAAACCTTTAAATAAATAATAAAATAACACGGCATACCATTCCATTCCTATGGATACCTGCCTGTCTCCTGACTTAGTCATCTCTTAACATTTAACAACCAAAGTTGTTTATTGCTCCAGTTTATTAACCATTCCAGAGTTCGCTCACACACACACACACACACACACACACACACACACACACACGCTAAAGCAGTCACAAAACAGCTGTGGTCATCCTAAAAGTCAGAGTCAGAGACAGAAATCTAGCTTCTAAGTCTACATAAAACTTAAATTTAGCTGTTTCTGTAACATATACCAAGACAGAGTTATTAATGAGACCATTCACAAAACCAAGAGTTATTCTGAATAGATGAAATTGCTATGTAATTACAAAATAACAGAAATTAAAATGCAAATTTAAATTGTGCTAACATTCTCTACTGCTTTTCATTACAGGAGAAACAAACTGATATCCCACCTAAAGGCAGTAGAATAACTGAGTTTTGCCCTCTGCTATCAAGGAATGCCTCCACCCATTCAAAGTCTATATAGGTCAAAGCTTCGGACTGAAAAAATAAGGGGCAATAAAATATGATATTATAAGCAGGGCATGGTGGCTCAATTTCTAATTCCAGTGACTAGAGAGGACAAGTCAGGAGGATTCTAAGTTCAAATGTGGCCTGAGCAACTCAGAGTCTGTCTCAAAATAAAAAAAGAAAAAGGGCAAGGGATGTAGCTCGATAGTAAAGTGTCCCTGGATTCAAATCCCAATGTCAGAAGGAAAAAAAAAAGATATTATCCACTTATCTTTGAAAGTAGTAGAATAAAAGAAAGTATCTGAAAACTGAAAGAGCATGGGCTGGGGTTACAACTCAGTGCTAGATCACTTGCCTAGCACATATGAGGCACTAGGTTCAATCCTCAGCACCACATAAAAATAAATAAATGTATTGTGTCCATCTGCAACTAAAAAAGAAAAAATTTTTTTAAACGTGAAAGCAGATTTCAAAATTTTGGTAGCAGGAATTTTGAAAAATAGTCTCAACTGGTAATACCTACTGAAAGCAAATGTAACAATAAATTATTTAAAGTGCAGCTACATCAATTAAAATTGTTTTGATTAGTGACTTATGTATGAGAACACTGTTGATCCCAATAAGCAAATTCACCCAAAAAGAAAGAATTTAAATCACTTCATACCATTRAGAAAAACAAACAGAACAGAAAGATAAGAAAAATGAAAAAGGTACCACTGCTAATATTATTCCAACATTTATCTATTGCATTTTACTTTTGCTAATGTTTACAAAAATAAGTAATTTACTTTAGAAAAAGTAAAACCACCAAAAGTGTATACACTGACAAATTGAAAGACACCCTCTATTCTAGCACCAGTATTTCCCAAATCATTTTGGAAATACTGATAAATTTCCAGAAATTTCTTAACTTGATTTATTTGTAGGTTTTACAGGAGGTAGACAGGAGTTGACAACTGAAATACTGTGAGTTCTTCCGTAGAAAAATGAAAAATTACATACCTTGAGATGTCATCTTTCAGTACTCTTCATGTGTCAAGATGCATTTATTAATAGAAATTCTTAATTCACAATAATATGCAAATTATTAAAAAAAATGAATGAAATAATGGAATTAACTAATCTACATTTGTAAAATTTTATACTCTATAAACTGCATCATTACCAATAGGTATTAACATTTTTCTCCTTTTCCTCAGTAAACAGGTTTAAACTAAATTATCATCTCAAAGTTTATAGACTAACATGCTACCAAGCTGCAACAGAACTGTCATTTATTATTGAGTACACTTTTAAATAAGATTYACAATAAAAATTTCCAATGACATCATCAGAATTAATATACAAAGGAAAAATACAGGAAAACTGACAAAAAGTAACAAACAACACATTTCACACATTTAAAGTAACAGAGATTTATATAGTTGAAACCGCAAARCCTTGTGTTTAGTGAAAATCAATTTTTCAAACAAGATCAGAATTTTTTCAAAYAAAACATTTCTGCTCCTTGTACCCCTCCTCCAAAAAAATGCATGTGGAAATGAAGGGGGGGGAATGAATATAATCACTTTTAATAACTAACTTAATGGGAAAGGACAAAATGACAAGGTTAACGAGAGCAGGCAAGGCCAGCACTAAAGCTATTCTCCACAGTTCCACAATTCCTAACCCGCAATTTTACCAAATCTGCAGCCAACCTAGTACATAGTACTTACACCTCCCCCACCCACCCCATTTATGACGGCGACCACCTTCCTGGCAGGTATGTGAACTTAGCTGCTTCCAGATGAAAATCGCCTGGGCAGTCTCSGGAGAGACTGAGACAGGGAATAAGGAGAAATAAATGAGTTCTACGGTGTCGGTGGGAAGATTGTCTTACAGGGTGGAATATGTTGCGGATGAGGGGACCAAGAGGAGACATGGAACAAGAGGGAAGGGTCTTGATTAGAGTCACAAGCAGAAATCCAACTGAAGAGGTGTGAGGGAAAAAGCCCAAGCCAGAGGTCCAAAATAATAATAATTAACTAGAACGTCCTCCCGAAGAATAACCTGAGGAAAGGGATTCAGGGGCCACAGTGGGCGTCAGTCCCGAGGTCCCAGGAGGCCGGGAACTCACCACCTGGTAGCGGCCAGTCCCCAGCTGGTGATGATCCATCCTGCCCGGCTCGGGATCCGGCTTCCGAGCGGACAAGTCCCCTCCGCGCTCAGCTCCCTCGGCCTCCCCCGTCGTCGACGTCGTYGCCGCAGCGCCGCTTCCGCCTGGGTTTCTGCCGCCGCGGTCGCCCRGCGGGGACGCTTCACTTCCTGTAGCTCCCGCAGTAGCCGCGGAGATCTCCGCGTAGCGCGCGGTTCGCTGGAGAAGCTCCGGGGCGTCGCGTGCGTTACTGAGCATGCTCGGGACGGTCGCGCATGCTCGCTGGCTCCTCCGGTGTTCCATCMGCTCTGTGGCTCAGAGGGTACGGCTGGGTGGGAGGAGATGGGAAAATAGGGGAAGTTCAGGGAAGCAGTGTAGGTTGTCAGTCTGTCGGGAGTGGGAGGTGACAAAAGGAACTGGGAAAGAAAAAAAAAAAATCCGACGTCCTTGATTGGATTTTTCTGTGTACACGGGTTTTGCGCAGGAACGAGCAAGTGCACTGCAGAGAGGCGGATATCGCGAGGAAAGAGGACGCATTCTTACAACACCTGAGGGCCGCTTCCTGTTGTTATTCATCCAGCCTTAGGACACTGCAARGCAATCCATCTCCAGGGCATTCCTAAAACGGTCGTTCAGCTTCATCATCGAGTCAGACTTGGTGGCGACGCCTGTAATCCTAGCAACTCCAGAGGCTGCGATAGGAGAATTGCAATTTCAAGGCCAACCTCAGCAACTTAGCAAGACTTACCCTGTCTCAAATTTTTAAAAAATTAAAAAGACTGGCAAAGTAGCTCAATATTAAAGCATTCCTGGGTTCAATCCTTAGTACMAAAAAAAAGTTTTTTTAAAAGATTATTTTTAGAGCAACTTAGGTTCACAATAAAATTTAAAGAAAAGCATAGTGATATATACCTCTTGTACCCACTACAAAGCCTGCCGCACTGGGGCAAAATGTTATTAACACTGAACATTTGTTACAATTGATGAACCCATATTGACACACCATTATCACCCAAAGTCCATAGTTTGCATAAAGGTTTTCATTTTGGGTGGTGTACTTTCTAGGGGTTTGAATAAATGTGTAATAGCCACTATAGTATCATAGAAAATACTTTCACTGCCTTAAAATTCTGTGTGGAATACTTGTTTAAATCCTTTTTTTTTTTTTTTTTTTTTTTTTTTTTTTGTTCTTGGTAGTAAGGAATACACAGACATATTCATATATCTCTCAAGGAAACAGGCCTCTAGCGTTTTGGGGTTATGAGTGAGAAGGAGAAAAGAAAATAATGAAATAAGGTAGGAAATTTTGTGGTTATTATCAATAATTCCTAGGAATTTAACTGTAAGGAATTACTCTGGACTATTATAATAATACTCTGTTAGTGTCTGATTAAGCACAGATGATATATGCATCTCTCACCCAGAACACAAAGCATGTTTCTCTAGCAAGTAGAAGAGTCTAATGGAGCAGCAAAAAGTACTTTTTAATCCAAAGGCCTGCTTTTTGTACCCTGTAAACTAAATAATATGTGATCCCACATGATCAGGCCCAGCTATCTTTTAAGATAATTGAACCCTTTCATCCTAAGTGATATTATAGAAGAGCCTATTAAGAAGAGGATAGAGAAGTGTCTGGAACAGCACTCACTTTACTTTCCTCATGAATAAGAGGAGATTCCTGGAAGGTCAATGGATGAGCCTAACCAACTTGTTTAAATATCATGATACAATAAAGAGGGAAATTCACTGAAATATCATCAGCTAAAAAGTTTAAGCCTTCCTGATAGCTTTTTCCCCCAAAGAATTCATCAGCTCTACCTGGTTTTGCTATGTTGACACATCTGGTAGTCAAGAGCATTACTAAGATAACAGTAATGAAAGGCAATGATATCATTCTTAAAACTTGCTTTGTAATGATCTACTGTAATATATTTTAGAATCTAAGACAACAAGTATGACATTTTATTGAAATCATTGACATAAGTACTCACACATTATCAACCCAATTGGAATTGTCTATCAGTGATCAAAACAGCCAATGGTAGCAAAATAAAATTAGATTCCTACTCATTTATGTTTGATCAGGCTGATGTAGTAAGTGCTGAAATGATGTAGAATTAAATTTTATATGTGCTTGTGTTCTCATTGACCTTTTTTTWAAAAAATCTTTATTTTATTTATTTATTTTTATGTGGTGCTGAGAATCAAACCCAGGACCTCGCACATACTAGGCGAGTACTCTACCACTGAGTCACAATCCCAGCCCCTCAATGACCATTTTAATGTCCATTTCTCAATCAGACTTTTTCTCAGAGACTACTTCTTACTCCCTATACAATACTGAGAACACAATGTTGAAAACCAGAGACCTGATCAATGGCAGGCATCCTAAATCCTGTTAGAGTAACAAATTCTTTCAGTAGAGTAACAAAATCTTTCAGTTTTACCCTCCTCCAAAGTTTTTTGAACATTTTGTTACTCTAGTAGAGAAGGTAACAGAATTCAACAGGAAAGCACATTTTGAATGAGGAATAGGAGACAGTAGTAGAACAACAATGTATAAGTTTTGAGCTCTTCTTAATCCAGGGACTATGCATGAATTATTTTATCCTCACAATAAACCCACGAGTTAGACATTAGTGTAACCCCAGTTTAGATGAGGAAACTAAGGCACAGAGATATTAGGTATATTTCCAACACCAAATTACCAGTAAGTGATGAAGGACACCAGAGCCTCCACTATCTTAAGCACTATGCCATAATACAATCTTGCAAAAAGAGGACTTATCTTTCTCCTTTCTGGCTACTACTACTGAAAAACTTGTTCAGAAGACATAAAATGACAGTGATGCAGCATCACAAATAGCCATGTCTTTATCTGTATGAAATAATGTTTCTCGTCATCCCAAAAAAGAGCCATTTTGAGCTTTATTTCGACTAAGCCTGTGTGATCTCTAATGGACCATCACAAGCAGAGGCACTGACTTGTCATCCTGGAAGCAATTTCTTTGGAATGAAACATGAGTAACAATATTCTTTGCCACTTCAGAGGTCTTGAGTAATATCCAATAATATTTTCAAAATTTGATCTTCTGCTGATAATTCCAGTTACCTAAGAAATTGATGAGGTACAGTGTTACAGGCTGCTCAGTAGAATTGTTGACTTAGTGCTCTTGACTAAGCCCTCTTTTTCTGGTCTAATCAATATTCACCTCTAAACACAACCACCCAACATATTACTAGTGAATGCTGAAATACTGGGACAGATACACTTACCCAGATTCCCTTTCAAAAAAACTCACTCTGCCCAGGAATGCAGATATTCAACATCTTCCAGCTATTAGCTTTACCAGGGTTTCCTTTAGCTTTCAATCTTAGGTGGAGCTGCTTTCATGATGACATTCAGCCATTGAATGAGTAAGGCGGTGGCACAAGTTTAAACTGTTTTTACTTTACTCCAGATCTCTTTAAGGAGCATACTTTGCCTGTCAAGGTGGCAGAAATTTTGTCAAATCATGTGCAATCCTTTTTCTTTTCACATCTGTTTCTCTCCAATGAATCTCTTGCACTTTTATTTTTTATCAACATCTGCTTCCTAGAGAGCCCAACCTAGACAAGTACCAATAAGTAATAGAAGATTATTAATATCAAAATTATGTTAAAATATCTATAACTATAATTTCATGTGGTGATGTTTCATGTCCAGAATGACCCTCAGAACCCCACAATGTTAGCATTTGCTCATGTAGACATAATGTATCTACCACCTTAACACTAAGAAACTTCAATGTTTTACAGAGTGATGCTGTCGGATCACAGCGACCTCTTTATCTGGGACAGATGTCCCATAGGGAACACTCCCACCTTCCAAGAACCATTTTCTCTAGAGTTAAACTCCTTTCTTGTCAATCATTATCCTCTCCCTTTACTTCTAACAAGATATATTGAGATCTGTACATGTGCACCAGAATTCTGTGTTGAGATTTTCATCAAAGAGCAATAGAAATGTCAGTGCCTATAGAGGGCATCTACATAGGCCTAAGTCACAAGTAGCCAAGTGCTCCATATTTTTCTTGTTCAGTGACTTTCTTTTTTTTTTTTTTTGTAACTTCCTCTACAATATAGAACACATAACATAGAACTATTCCTTAAAGTAGCTTCTGATGGTTAGTGTGACCAAAGACTTGTACTTGGAATATGTAAGTTTTTTGTATATTTATCTAGAGAATGAAAAAGTGTAAAATTGAATTCTCTATCTGAAAATGTCTATCTCTTCTCAATTAGAATTTATTAGCCATTATTTTMTGAACTTTAAATTCCAAAATATACCTTAGAATATACAAGAAACTATTGCTTTTTACTTTAATAAATGAATAAGCACATTTATTACTCTAAAGTTTTATCTCTGTTACCATATCTTTAAAGCAATTCTGTAGGATTGAACCTCAACTTAGCTTCACATGTTCCTTATTTAACCAGTTTTGAGAGTTCTGTTATCTGTTCAGCTCTATAATTTTAGAGAGGAAATCCCATGTGAACAATTTGACAATCAGATATCTACTTCCTTGCCCTCTCTTTATTCTCTTTCAGTACAATCTAATTTATAACCAATGTTTTTCATYAGCCAGAATTTAACTAGAAAAACAGATTTTTCAGAAGATATATATTAACAAATTTATTGCAAATAATTGGCTTATACAATAGCAGGAACTGGCTAGGCAAGTATGAAACCATTAGCTCATGCCACTGGAACTCCAGGGCAGAAGCTGAATCTACTGGCACAAGCAGAATTTCTTCTTAGAGAAGTCTCAGTTCTGCCCTTAAATACATTTAATTAATACAATCAGGCCCATTCAGATTATAGAGGATAATCTTCTTTACTTAAAGTCAACTGATTTTGAACTTCAATCACAGCAATGCCTAGAACAGTGCTTAATGAATAATTGAGGTGACAGCTTAGCCAGATTGACACAGAGAACTGACATCACATGTTTGTTTAAACACTATAAACTGAAATGGTCTCTATACAACAAAGATAAAGGATAGAGAGAAAGGAGAATGAACAGAAAAAAGACAGGAAGTACCAGAAACTTAGCTTAAAGATTCAAATAGGTTTCCAATATTTAAGTATTTCCTATCAGTTTTAATATATACATATATAAATCTTTACCATTACTTTTTTCCTTTGGTTCGTCCTGGGCAACAAATTAAATAAATCAACAATTACTTTGCCTTAGATATTTCATGTTTGAAATTGTGTAAATTATATTATTAAAATGAACTTTACAAAATTAAATGAAGTG